GACCAAAACCCCCACCCCGCTGACGCTGCGTGTACCACTCACGGAGCTGCTGGGGCGGGGGGATGTCCCGCGAACGCTGCTGCTGCTGCTGCTGCTGCTGCTGACGCTGGCCACCACCAGGGCCGCTACGCTGCGGGGCACCACCCCGACCAGCTCCACCCCCTCCGCCACCGCTGCCTCCACCTCCACCACCACCGCTGCCTCCGCTCCCACCGCTGCCGCCACCGACGCCTCCTGCTCCGCTGCTGCCACCTCCACCACCGCCCCCGCCACCACTCCCACCGCCACCCCCACTCCCTCCTCCGCCTCCACCGCCTCCTCCACCGCCCCCGCCAGCTCCACCCGCGCCCTTGCCCCCCTTGCCCCTGCCAGGGCGGCGTCTCCCGCTAGGGGCAGACGCCGCGCAGACCGACTCAAGACCAAGCAGGTCGGCAGCAGCAGCAGAGGCAACAGAGGGCAGCAGGGGGGAAGGAGAACACCCCTCAAAGATGGGGGTGCGAGGGTCACCACGAGAGGCTCCTACAGCGACGATGCTCTTCTCCGCCGCCAGGAGGGACTTCTCGAGGAGGTCGACAGTGAGAGTGGTGGGACAGACCGAGAGGTAGTGGTCCCTGACTACGCGAAGGGAGTCAGGGAGGCGTGTGACGATGTAATAGAGAGTGATGTACATGGGGGGGGGGTTCTTGGCGCAGAACTCAGCAGGAAGGGCGGCGCGGTAGCGAGTGTTACTAGTGCGGAGGTGCGTAATGAGGTCAGCGACAGTGGGAAAGGCAGCAAGGTCAGGAAAGAGGTACGGTAGCATGAGACGGCTCAGGGCAGCAGTGGCAGGGGAAGAGTAGCGCGCAACTACAGCGTCGTACAAGGTCTGAGCACTCTTGTACTGACTAAAGTGCGCGCGCTCAGTGGTAGGCAGGTGGCGACGCACAGCAAGACGTGCAGCAGCATCGCGGGTGGCCCACTGAGAGCGAACAGTGGGGTCAGCATCAGTAGCAGGGGCAGGAGAGGCGCCAGAGGTGAGGTCAAAGAGGGAAAGACCGTCCGCCCTATCGCACTGTAAGAACAGCTGCAGGTCGTCGACCCAGACCTCAAAGTCAATGGCTCGACCCTCAGCGTCAAAAGCGAGGACGCTAGGGGTAGCCATGACGACGACAGACGAGCAGTGCAAGCAGTAGGGGAAGGGCACGTAGTGACAGTGGGGCTGTGCTCACCGGACAGAGCAGGTCGGGCGGCCCGGCAGTAGGGCGGCTCGGCTGCTCAGCGGCTCGGCGGCAGTGCGGCTCGGCGCCCGGGCGGCTCGGCGGCAGGGCGGCTCGGCTCCCGGGCGGCTCGGCGGCAGGGCGGCTCGGCTCCCGGGCGACTCGGCGGCAGGGCGGCTCGGCTCCCGGGCGGCTCGGCGGCAGGGCGGCTCGGCTCCCGGCGGTTCTGCTGCTAGGCGGCTCCCGCAGGTAGGGCGGCGGTTGGGCCGCAGGTAGGGCGGCGGTCGGGCCGTAGGTAGGGGGGCGGTAGGGCCGCAAGTAGGGCGGCGGGCAGGCCGCAGTTAGGGCGGCGGGCGAGCCGCAGGTAGGGCGGCGAGTAGGCCGCAGGTAGGGCGGCGTGGGGCCGGGACGGGCGGCGCGCGGGCGTCGAGGGGCCGGGACGGGCGGCGCGCGGGCGTCGAGGGGCCGGGACGGGCGGCGCGCGGGCGTCTAGGGGTCGGTCCGGGTGGCGCGCGGGCGTCTAGGGGCCGGGACGGGCGGCGCGTGGGCGTCGAGGGGCCGGGACGGGCGGCGCGCGGGCGTCTAGGGGCCGGGACGGGCGGCGCGCGGGCGTCTAGGGGCCGGGACGGGCGGCTCACGGGCGGCGAGGGGCCGGGACGGGCGGCGCGCGGGCGTCGAGGGGCCGGGACGGGCGGCGCGCGGGCGTCGAGGGGCCGGGACTGGCGGCGCGCGGGCGTCTAGGGGCCGGGACGGGCGGCACGCGGGCGTCTAGGGGCCGGGACGGGCGGCGCGCGGGCGTCTAGGGGCCGGGCCGGGCGGCGCACTGGCGTCTAGGGGCCGGGACGGGCGGCGCGCGGGCGTCTAAGGGGCCGGGACGGGCGGCGCGCGGGCGGCTAAGGGCCGTGACGGGCGGCTAAAGGGGGCCACTAGGGGCCAAGAGAGAGGGGAGCGCGACTCGGGTAGGGGCAGAGTGCGCTCCGGGCAGGAAAAAAAAAAACGGTGGGCCCTAGGAACAGTTCCCACGAGGGAACCTGCTCGATACCATGAGAAGAGTAGAACGAGAATGAATGAACTATGAATGAAGTGAGTACATATGGGAAACCCTAATTGGGTTGTACCCCCTATGGGATACCCCACTATAGCCTACACAACAGCATAAGCTATATATATATGTTCTGACATGCGGGCTGCAGGGCAGGGCAGCGTGCAGGCCTACGGACAGGGCAACGCGCGGGCCTAAGGGCAGGGCAACGCGGCTCTAAGGGCAGGGCGGCGCGCGGGCCTAAGGGCAGGGCGGCGCGCGGGCCTAAGGGCAGGGCGGCGCGCGGGCCTAAGGGCAGGGCAGCGCAGCGCGCGGGCTGCAGGGCAGGGCGTCGCGCGGGCCTAAGGGCAGGGCAGCGCGGCTCGCGGGCTGCAGGGCAGGGCAGCGCGCAAGCCTAAAGGCAGGCCAGTGCGGCGCGCGGGCTGCAGGGCAGGGCGGCGTGCGAGCCCTGGGCAGAGGGTAGAAAACAATTTACGGGCAGGGCAGGGTGGAACGTTCGGTGGGCCCTAGGAACGAGCCTGCTCTAATACCATGTTAGAATACGTGAACAGGAATGAATGCATTAGGCAGAAGTTGAGAACAAGTACCTAACCCAATTGGGTTGTACCCCATAGAACATGACCCACTATAGCCTAACATCACAATATTGTTTGACAGCCTGTAGGCAGAGGAGTGGGCTGTGGCGAGGAGAACAAGAAGCCGAAGCGCTGAAGGACGTGGTGCACCATGTGTGACTGAGTCCGGGTGATGGTGCGCCGTGCTCTGTCCCGGGTGATCTGCAAGCCAAGATAGCTCCGCAGCTCACCCATGTCAGTGCAGGTGTGTCTCTCCTGCAGCTTTGCCTTCACTAAGGCCAGTGCCTCAGTGTCAGCAGTAGCAAAAACCAAGTCGTCGACGTACACGAGGACGTAGAACGGGGCCAGAGGGTTGTCTGTGCGCAAAAATAGCGAAGGGTCACCAGTCGAGGGAGCGAAACCAAGAGCCGCAAGCGTAGTCCTCAGTGTGTCGTGCCACTCACGGGGCGCCTGGCGCAGACCGTACACTTGCCGCCGGAGGCTCCACTGGGTACCCTCAGGAAACGACCCAGTGAATCCACGAGGGCGGCGCAGCCAGGTCGCCTCGTGAAGGCTGCCCTGCAGGAAGGCTATCGAGAAGTCGAGGGAGTGCAGCTCGTAGTCACGCTGTGCTGCAACGTGTAGTAACACCCGAAGAGTAGTCATCTTCGGGGTGGGTGAGAAGGTCTGGAAGAAGTCGACCCCCTCACGTAGACTTAAGCCTTGTGCAACGTGACGCGCCTTGAAGGCAGGCGGAGAACCCGGTGGCCGCTTCACCCTGAAAATCCACAGGACATCGACTATGTTCGCCCCAGGTGGGGGAACTGCGTCGACGTAGGTGCCTGTGGACTTCCAGGAAGCCATCTTTGCGTCCGTGGCTATCTGCCACTGAGAGGAGTACGGACCCGTGATCGCGTCTGCATAAGAGCGCGGGGTCGGGATGTCCAATGCATCCAGGTCTCCCTCAGGGCAAAGTAGTGTGGACACGAGATGAGGTGCAGCGGCCGCTAGGCACTCCAGCTCAAATTGCCTGTTCTCAAGGACGTCACAGCCAAGGGCAAGCTCACCCCCGACGGATGGAGGACAGTCAGAGTCAAAAACAAGACTCGAAGCGTAGTCAAGGCGGCACAGAGCAGCAAAGTCAACAAGCTCAGCGACTAAGGCAGACGCAGCAGGAGACGAAAAAGCAGGGTCAGTCACAACCATGGCAAGAAGATGAGTGACAGTCGGACTGACAGCACAAACAAGGTCAGACTCAGGTCAGGAATGTGAGGAAGAGAAGACGCAGGAGGCTCACGCAGGACAACACGCTGTGGAACAGAGGAAGGACGAAGTGCCATGATGTGCGTGCCTGGGACAGGTGGAGGACGAGGACGGGCAGTACGACGAATACGGACAGGCGTGACAGGACGCGACGCAGGCTCTCTACTCGCAGTGAGGGACTCTGGCACTGCAGTGTAAGGAGCAGGAGCATGGAGTGGGGAGTGAGGCAGTAACTGTGACGGAGACTGGTCAGACGGTGGGGACAGTAACGGAGGAGTAGTGCCAGCAATAGTGACCTCAGTAACAGCAGGCAGGAGACTGAGAAGGTGACGGAGCGCAGACGGCTGCTGCTGAGTAGTCGCACCCCCAGTACCAGCACCTCTAGCTCCACCACCGGGGCTTCCCCAACGGACAGCCCACTCGCGAAGCTGCTGCGGCGAGAGCGACTCCTGCCGACTAGCACCACCAAATCCAGTACCTCCAGTAGCAACACCTCCAGTACGTCCAGCTCCAGTACCTCCAGGAGCACCTCCAGTGTCAGTACCTCCAGCACCAGTACCTCCAGCACCTCCAACTCCAGTACCTCCAGTAGCACCTCCAGTGTCAGTACCTCCAGGACCAGTGCCTCCAGCACCTCCAACTCCAGTACCTCCAGTAGCACCCCCAGTGTCAGTACCTCCAGAACCAGTGCCTCCAGCACCTCCAACTCCAGTACCTCCAGCTCCAGCACCTCCAGCTCCACCACCTGGGCTTCCCCACCGGACACCCCAACTCACCACCTCGGTCAGAGTGCAGTCGCAGGACCGGGAGGTCCTGTTGGAACCGAGCGCTGAGCTGGCGACGGACAGCACGGATACAGCGGATCAACACACTGCGGACATCCACCTTGCTCTGCAAGGGGAAGACCGTGGTGTAGGGCGTGTAGTCGTCAACAACCAGCAAAAATTAGCGCTCTCTGCCCAGTCCAGTGATGCGGGCTGGACCCCACACGTCCATGTGGAGGGTCTGCAGAGGAGATGTGGTCGGAGGAAACGAGGAGGAGTGAGGAGCGGCACGCTGCCGCCCCTCGACGCAGGTAAGGCACTGCGGCGCAAGCGACCTCGGGAGCGGGGGCAGGGACATGAGGAGGCCAGAGACAAGGAGACGGGAGTGCATGCTGCGCAGACGCAGTTGGGAGGGGTGACCAAGACGGTGGTGCCAAAGCACAGCCGGTTGCGTGAGGAGTCGACACGAACAGGACGCAGCTACCTCACCTGACGCAGCTACTGGACCTAACTCAGCTTCCTGTGCATACTCAGTGGTCAGTGTGTTAAGGCCAGACCCATGCCTCTGAGTGAACGTGGCGAGGTGCTCGCCAGTGCGTGAGTCCGTACAGATCGCCACGAGCTCTCCCCCAGGCTGGGTGACAGTAACCAACTCGTCCTGGAGAACAGTGGTAGCCGCCAAGTTCTTAGCGAACGAGGGGAGGTGGAGACCTGAGAGGGAACCGGAGGGGGCTGCCGGACACGGGAGAACAGTGGAGTCACGTTCAACGACTGGGCCACTAGATAGGTCGGCCAGAGTGACAGGGACCGAGACTGTGAGCGGTGTGACTGTGGTGAAGTGCGGAAGAAGCAGCGAGACGCGCCTGAGTCTAGAGTGAAAGAGTTCAAGGCCTCCTCTGCACCTGTGCTAGCTGAGTCACAAGCACCTAGACTAGCAGCCTCTACACTAGCAGCTCTAGGCACACACGAGTAACAGTCACCCTCAACACTAGCATACATCGCATACATGCCAGCATGGATCACGTCCCAGTTACAAGCAAATACATCGATGTCCTTCTTAAGCAAGGCTAACCAGTCAAGAGTCGTCATGTGCTCACCATGCTCCGCACGATGCAGATCGTCGAGGCGAAAGAAGCAGCGAGGCTCCGTGTGGTCGGTGCGACTGCAAGTCGCTCCAGGCTGACCTGTGCGACGGACGTACCCGCAGCGAGCTGGGCCACCTGAGCTGCCACGGCAGATCGCCCACTCACGAAGCTGTTGGGACGAGAGCGGCACCTGTCGACTCAGCTGCTGCTGCTGACCACCCCCAGAGCCACCTCCACCACCCGCTGCACCACCAGACGCAGCTGTGCGAGTGGCCGAACCTCCAGCTCCTCCTCCGCCAGCTCCACTCCGAGTGCCACCCCCACCCCCTCCACCACCCCCACTGCTCCCACCACCCCCTCCTCCTCCTTTGCCGCCTCCACCTCCTCCTCCCCCACCACCACCACCCCCGCCACCACCACCGCTATCCCCGCCACCCCCACCACCCCCACCCTTGCCACCCTTGCCCTTGCCGCTGCGGCGCCTCCCACTACGAGCAGACGCAGCACCGACCTCCTCAGCACTAAGGAAGTCCACAGCAGCAGCAGAGGCAACAGACGGCGCGAGCAGGGAGGGGGGGCACCCCTCAAAGACCGACGGGAGAGGAGTGCCACGGGAGGCAGCGACATCTAGGGCAGCGGACTCAGCCTCTAAGAGACGGGACTCAAACGAGGCGAGGGTGATCTTTGTGGGGTCTAGAGCGAGAAAGTGGTCGCGAACAGCACGAAGGGAGTCAGGGAGGCGGGTCGTGAGAAAGTAAAGGGTGAGATACATGGGGGGGCTTGTTTTCAGCCAGAAAGGCGGGCTAGAGAGCGGCACGGTAGCAGGTGTCCAGGGAGCGCAGGTGAGTCAGGAGGTTAGCTACAGTGGTGAAGTGTGACAGCTCAGGAAAGAGGAACGGCAGCGCCAGACGGCCTACAGTGGCAGACGACGGGGAGGAGTAGCGCTTGATTACAGCATCGAAAAGTGCATTGGCCGTCTTAAGCTGGCGAAAGTGGGTGCGCTGGTCTAGCGGAAGGTGAGTGCGGACAGAAAGAGCGGCAGTAGCGTCATGAGAAGTCCACTGGGACTTGTCTACGTGGTCAGCTGAGGCAGCAAGGGCATCGAGGGACCCCGAGGTATGCTCAAAAAGAGATGCATTCTCCCTAGTAACGCTCTGCAGGTACCAGTGGAGGTCCTCTAGCCAGGTCTCAAAATCTATCGCGTGGCCCTCGGCGTCAAAGGTGAGCACAGTGGGAGTCGTCATAGTAGCAGTAACAGCAGCTGCAACAGTGGCAGTAGTAGCAGTAGCAGCAGTAAGGGCGGCAGTAGCTGCTGTACTGGTGCAGAACGGCACTGGTGCGCGGGCAAAGGCAGCACTAGTGCAGGGGGAGCGGCTCGGCAGGGCGGCGTGGCTAGGCGGCTTGGCAGGGCGGCTTGGCAGGGCGGGTGCAGGCAGCAGCAGCATGCGCGCAAGCAGGGCAAGCAGGGCAGGGCAGGGCAGCGCGCGGCGGCAGGGGCGCGAGCTGGCGTCTTGGCAACGCAAGATAGGGCAGGGAGCGGGCAGCGCAGGGCAATGCGCAGGCGGCTCAGGCAGGGCGCACGCAGGCAGCGCAGGGCAGCAGAGGGCGGGCCGGCAGTAAGCAGGCAGCATGGGCGGCACAGGGCAGCGCGGGCGGCGTGCGGGCAGCGCGCGAGCAGCGTGCGGGCAGCGTGCGGGCAGCGCGGGCAGCGCGCGGGCAGCGTGCGGGCAGCGCGGGGGCAGCGCGAGCAGGCAGCGCGGGCGGCGTGCGGGCTGCTGACGGGCAGCACGGGCGGCGTGCGGGCAGCGCGCTGGTAGCGCAAGCAGCGGGCGGGCGGCGTGCGGGCAGCGCAAGCAGCGCGCGGGCAGCGTGTGGGGCAGCGGGCGGGCGAGCGCACTGGGCAGCGCGACAGCGCGCGGGTTTGGGCAGGGCAGCGCGATAGCGAACTGGGCAGGGCAGGGCAACAGCGCGACAGCGTGCTGGGCAGGGCAAAAACGTCGGGCAAGGCAGGGCAAAAACGAATGCCGGGCAGGACGGAACTAATCGGTGGGCCCTAAAAAATGGGTCCTAGAACGAGACCTACTCTGAAACCATGTCAGGATAGGAAAACAGGAATGATGTGACTAAGCAGGAAATGTGGTACAAGTACTATCCCTAACAAGGGTTGTACCCCATAGGGAGTAACCCACTACAGCCTAACAATTTATGTTTGACAGGTCTGTCAGCTGGGCATCGCGTGCCCCCCCCCACTGGGCTCTGCAAGTACCTGATTTTGGTAGGTCCTCTGCACCGTCTACAGGCGCGCCGGTCACACCGCTGCGCGCTGCTTGCGTCGACTCGACAACCTCTTCCGTGCCCACTTCGGGTATGCGGCGTCCGTCCTGGACTGGCCTGCGCCGTTGCACAGGGGTGTGATGGTATTTGGTCGTGATATGTCTCAGATAGGAACTGCTTTGTATGCCATGTATTCTGATGACTCTGGTGTTGCTGAACCTTATTATTAGAGCGTGTTCCTACGTCCTCTAGTCAGGCTGGCCTCTTGTCGGACTTGGTCATTCGAGCGATTTCGTTATTAACACCGTTTCTCAGACTTCAAAACAAACAGTGCTGCGCGATAAATTGGTCGTGCGAAACCTGTCACATGTGTTGTTTCGGCGAGTAAGGTCAGTCAATCGCGTGAAGATTTTCCTCACACGTGAGAGCCAGGGTCTTACTCACACGGGAGAAGGAACCCCGTTTTGCCAGGTATGCAGCACACGAAGTTTTTTCAGCGACCAAGCACACGTTTCGATCGTTGGTAATTTGTCAGGATTCAGGAAATGTTTGTACCTTTGCAACCTTTCGGAACGGGGGCGCTGCACAGTGCCACGTCACCCCACGCATTGTGTTGCGCACTTCGCCAAGCAACGAAAATAAAGAAATAAAAGGTAGGGTTTATCCGAAATATTAGTGTTTGAGGCGAGTCTGACAAGTGGCCATCCTGATTAGAGGCCGTAGGAACACGCTCTTAGTGTGTACCTAGACTAGGTTCTCTAGCTGTCTTTGGTATAGGATCCTCTATTGTTTCTTGCCCAGGTGCGTCGACTGCCGACGTGTCCCTCTCCTTCTCGCTCGACTCCGGTTTGTCCCAGTGCTTCTTTCGCAACCGCACCACCCTCTCGCCGCTTCCAACTCTTGTCGCAGTTTCCCTGGCCAACCCCTCCTCTGGGCCAGTCGACGCACGCAGTGCTACTGCACTCCCTTGTCCGGCAGTCCCCTTTGGCTCCCTCACCGGTCTGCACATCTCCTCGTTCTCCACGAACTTGGTGTGTGTCGATCTTCTTCAGGACCTTGGCGTCACAACCACGTACCCAGGACACGAGCGGTCACGGACGCTATCACTGGGGCACCTCTTGCCACGTCCCCCGGGACCCTGCAACAGGCCTTTTTACACTTCACACTACGTCCACCCAGGATCCTTCGTATGGTGAGGTGTACTCGTGTTGGTCGCTCATTCACCCATCGCTCTGGTAACACCCACCACGTTCTCCTGCCGTGGCTTGTAGCCGTCCGCACCCAGCGCGCCAAGCCCGTGCTTCGTCTGCACTCCGATCGTGGTGGCGAGTTTGTCTTTGCTTGCCTTGGCCAGTTCTGTCGTGCGGAGGGCATCACCCAGACGTACTCCTCTCGGAATTGCCGCAGCAGAATGGGGTAGCCGAGCAGCGCATTGGCTTGGTCATGAAGATTGCTCGTACCTCTATGATTCATTCCAGTGCCCCTATTTTTTGTGGCCGCTTGCAGTCCGCTATGCCCTGCACCAGCTGAACTTGTGGCTTCGTGTCTCACGGCCGCAGGATTTGCCGACCCTCCTCTGGATTGGTTCCCCAGGTGCTGCACATGCGTTTCGCGTCGAAGGCTGCTTTGTTGACGTCCGCGATGCTTGCACGGACAAGCTCTCAGCCCGCACTCTCCCGTGTGTTTTCTTTGGTATCCCACTCGCCGCCCCTGACTGGCTGTTCTACCACCCTTTGTGTCACCGTTCCCTCCGCTCTCGTCACGTCACATTTGACGAGTCGGTCGACTTCTACACTCGCTTCCCTCACCGAGGTACCCCGGTCCCCCCTTTTCCCCTCTTTCTCACTCCCACTCCTCCGCTCGCTCCCCTGCCCTCACGTCCGAACAAAAAAAAAGGGGGGGGGGGGAGAGGGAGGGCTGGGTTGGTGGGGGATGGGGGGGAGGGGGTTGGGGTGGGGAGGGTCTTAACAAATGGCACTGAATTTATAAGACCCGGGTCTTATTACAAATGTGATTATTACTAATTGTGTTTTTTTTTATCCAAACATGTGAATGTGTGTGCTCCGTTTTTAGATCCCTAAGAAAATACGCGAATATGTGTGTATCCACGATCGCCAAAGGCACATCACTGAGAAATCCTGTAGGGTCCCTTCTCCTATTGGCCACAAACTGTGGTTACCACATCCAAAACTTGCGGGGAGGTCACCGTGTGTTGGGCCCAGCGCATCGTGCCAGGCCACCTCGACACTCACAACCCATGCACGCTTCGAGGGTTGGGGAGCACGGTCCTGGTTAATGGAGCCTCTACACCCTGCAGCTGACACGTCCACGTTCCTGGGCTACGTTTCACCTCTTGCTCCGCCTTGATTTTCTCCTCTGCACGATGCCTTGTTGTGCTCGACAGGCTCTTAAAGATGGCCCTAGAGAAGCAGAATAAAACCTCCTCGAAGTAACAGTATTTCCTGTTTAGGGACCCATCCGCCATGTTGACTCCACCAGATGCAGGGACGTGGGATGCTCGACGTCGACGTCTCCCTGTCGTATGACGTTCGCCTGTTGTTAGGCCATCGCCTAGGCCCGCCATGCCAACACCTAGTGCATCCGCAAGCATGCCTACAGATAGTGGGCATATCACTATTATCCCACGCCCACCGCTGCCAAGAGTCAATGTCCTCGTCTTTCCGCAGTCATGTAGACCCGAGGGCATGAAGAAGAGCGTTCGGGATGCAGCCCCACCTTGCGAATACTTTGTAGGACAAAGAGTGCGCGACACTCTTTCATCGCCAAGAAAAGAATCTACTGGCTGGCGATGCTGGACGCGGCGCCAGCATCGTGCCAATATGGGCGGCATGGCCCGGGAAAAAACAAATAAACCCAGGGAAAGACATGTCAATATGGGCGGCATCAACTTTAAGCGTCGTGTATGCGATCCTGAAGTGGCCTAGACAGTAGAATGTGGCACTTCTGAAGGATGGGGTTACGGCTTCAAACCCCCGTGCCGACGTGTTCTGCCAGCCCCCCAGAAGGGGGTTCGCACTTGATCATCTGGGAATAAATTGCCCTATTGATTACGATCAATATATAACCTTAAACCTAAGCACCATGCGGCTTGGTGTTTAGGGTTGATGCCGCCCTTGTTTGCGCCTTTCCCTAGAGGTTTTATTTTTGGCCCCGTTGAGATGAGATACACTAACCAGTAAATGTGTATTGAGAAAACGAGCTGCCCGTGGGAATGGGGCGCAGAGCGAGCAGCTGTCAAAGTCGCTGCCAAAAGAAATCGGAAACGCGCAAACAGTGTGGTTCGTCATTTCCTCTATTTATCCTCTGTACAGTTTCGAGCTGACGAATTTCCTTCCTCCATAGGGACGACTGCAAGATGGCACCCAAGTGGAACCAAAGGTCCCTTGCGCACCAAGCAACCACACAACACGACACGTCACACGAGCCCTTTGGTTTGGAGGGTGCGCCCCGTACAAAGACGGATTCCGAGGGCTTCTGTACAGAGAGGAGCAGCCGAGTGCAGCAATTGCAATTGTGGCAGGAGGATCCACTGTAACAGCGAAAGGCGGATTCACTTCGGACTCCCGACCCTACTTGCTGGCTGGCCCATGCATTCCCCCCCCAACCCAAACCAGCCGAACCCTGGCTACTGGATCTTCTTCCAGCAATCGCACCAGCACTTTTTGATTTCGTGGACTTCGTGAGAAATTTTCCCCGTTCATACTTCTGGAGGGGTATTTGTTGCACATTACACGATTGAAGTTGATGTGCAAAGTTTGGCCCCAGTTTGTCATGCGCAAAGTCGCCGAGCCTCCAACTGGGGGGTCTCCGAGCCTCCAACTGGGGAGCCTCCAAATGTTGATTTCGTTGTTTACGTATCGAATACTGAAGGAGCTACAGTTCTGTGTGAATGAGGGGGATGCATTTCGGTGTGGCAGTCTTTCACGGACCCATTCTGCCCGATGATGACGTCCTCAACAAAAAGCAATCGTGTACAGAGTTCCCCTTTGGGTTGGCTCGATCGGATCCTATGATATGATTGGGTACATCGTGTCGTTTTGAGACGGGTTACCCGTCACATGTGGTTGCCCCGGACACATTTTCGAGTCGCAGGTGTGAAAGTCCTACCTCTAGCCGCGCCTTCCAAGTGACGCGGTTTTCGTGAAACTGTTCCTTCGTCACCCTCGCCATATCATCTCGGTTCGACTGTAGGACTAGAAACTAGAAACCTGAATTAATTCGCATTTGTGTTGTGATTGGTCCTACTGTACTGCGTTTTTTCGTTCCTTTGGAAACATCCATCTTCGGTCCTACAGTGCCAATGGCTGCTGGATATTCATCTCCGCCGCACAGTACAGAGATGCAGTACAGAGGCAATGGGGCACTGGGGCTGTGGAAGAAAAGGAGGCGACACTGGGACGAGTTTGGGTACGTTCATTCGGTAAATATACGTTAATTCCACAGATACAGAAGAATACGGGTACTTACCCTTCCAGGCCGAGCCTCCTTCCCCTTGTCGACATTGTCAATCCCTGTCTGCTAGCCAAGCATTACCCGCCGCGACAGCCAAAACCAATGCCCGCGACTCGAAGGTTAGAGGGACCATTTCATGATCAGACAGAAACATCCTCGCCATCATGCAATTTGCTAGCTTTCGCAACTGCCTGCCTGTACCTGGAATGCTGGGTTCCTGGTGGTCTGTCTGCTGGTGTGTGGTGGGGTGGGGTGGGGTGGGGTGGATGGGATGGGATAGGAAGGAAATAATTGGGCAACCATTGGGGAATTCCACGCCGCCACCGCCTTCGTCCACTCCCCCGTCCACCACCATTCCACCTCTTCATCTCATTCGATTGCACTGACAAGATTCAAACACATAACAGGTTCCTTCCTCTGACATCCACACACACACCCAACGAATTCTTGCCTGGCTCGTGCGTGGGTGCGTTTTCTTCTTGGGTGAATCCTTTGCCTGTACTTTCACACTGCGACTATTTCCCTTCCTCTAGAGACCCACAGCCGAACATTTCAGAACTTCAATCACGGATCGTACTACGCATTTCAGTATTACAGCTACTCCCTGCTGACAGCCATGGAGGTCGCGTACGAGCGCCACCGATCGCTGAGCATCAGCGACGCTCCCACAACGTCAGAGGCAATGCGGGGTTCACCCCTAGTACTAGCGCCGGGCGCGGGACCGTACAATCCTGCGGCTTCTGCCGGGTCCTTCAGCGCGGCTCGCACGCGGTCGCGCTCCGCCTCTTTCTCCACTTACTGCCCTCCGCCAATCGTCGTCCCCAGCAATAATTCATCAGATCCCGCCTTTCCCGGTTCCACCTCCCCCTCGCCTTCCGGTTACCCAGGTCCCGCCTTCCCCAGCTCGTCCTGCTCCCCCTCCCCGCAAGATTTCGGCCTCAGCAGCTGCGAGAACTCCCCCGCGTTTCCCGGCCACTCCCCGTCGGAGTTTTTCCAGGCTCGGACGGTGGTTCGGAGCCCGAACCAGGAGTTGGTTCGGCAGCGGGCAGCGGAATCTGCGGATATGGACAGCCAATGGGAGATGCCGCCCAGCCCCGGCGCGCGCACGCCCTGCACGTGTCGGCGCAATCCTTGCGCGTGCGCGATTCTCTCGAAGCGGGCATCGCGGGCGGGTCCTCCGCTTTCGACATCGGGGTGGGGCCGCCGATTGCGGCGCTCCTTGAGCGGAGGCACATCCGCCGGCAACTCCGATAGTGAAGGCGGCGCGGAACCTAGGCGCTCGCGCTCCCTCCTACTGCGCCCCAGCAAGACGATCGCCAATGCCAACGCCACGTCGGACACGGAAGATATGGGATACGGCTCCGGCACGGGCGGCGAGTCGGGGCGATCGACGACGGGCCGGCGCGCGCAGTTCGCGCGGCTGTTCACGCGAACCGGCACGGCGCCGCCACGACCGTCATCTTCCAACGGCTTCCTCTCCGGATCTCTCGAAGGAATTTTGAGCCCGAATCACGCGGCTCCCTGCGCCACCAATCATGTTAGCCCGCCTGCGGCGAGCCGCGGGCTTGTAGCGCGGTGCGCGTCGGTCGACGCGGCGGCGGCGGGGATGTTCGGCGGCAATGGCGGCGGTAGCAATGTCGAGCGTTCCGGCCGCCCGTCTTCTACGACGTCGCAGAAGTACAGCCGATCGCCGTCGCCGACGTCGTCGGGATCGCATGGAACAGCGACGAAGGGGATTTGGCGAATTACAGCTACTAGCGTTACGTCGCCGCCTCCTGCTGACCTCTCGCCGGAGAGTCTTCCAACGGGACCGAACCATCCGAGCCGCGGCGCCTCGCCTGTGCCACGTGTCATCTCCATCGATAATGCCGTGGCGTGGTTAAACAACACACGGAAGGGCCACAGCCAGAGTCAAGGGAGAAGGAGCGCAGATGGTGCCGCAACTGACGGCGCCTGTCCCTCTTCCAGGGTACCCGCGAGACGCGCCTCGTTCGGGAGTGGGTCTTCGCGAGTGACAAATGCTTCTTTCGGATCGCCCTCTAGCGCGAACGAGGACGACTTGAGCCGCGCGTGGGACGATTTCACCGCGTCTGCGGCGGCAGCGGCAACGGGAACTGTTGCCGGCGACAGTAGCGGCGGGGTCTCCTACGCGCGCCACGTGGAGCATCAGGCGGCTATCGCGCGGAAGCGACAGCCTGCGGCGGCGCCGCAGCAGAAGGCGAACGTAGGAGCAAAGCAAAACGTGTTCCGACCCTCCGCAAGCTGCGGCTCGCTCACGGATCTCGTACCGGATGATTCCAGCGCGGTTGAGTACGGCGGGGGTGGTTATGGAGCGGGTGGCTTCGGGGGTGGTTACGGGAGTGATTTCTCGAAACCCTCGAAATCTAAGGGTAATTTGAATCTCGGCGCCACGCATCCTCCGTCCAGGAGGGGTTCATCCCGCCCGACCCCTCCCCCTCCGCGGCCTAGTTCCCCTAATGCCGTTCCGCGCCCCACTCATTCGCGCTCGCCTTCCGCGTCCGGCGCGGTCGGCACTTCCCCGCCGGGGCAGAGTCGGGGCGGAGAATCGACGGAGCCGATTCGATTCCGCGTGAACACCAACGGGAGGATCTACCGTTCACACACCACACCCGCGTCTCTCGCTCCCTCCAATTCCACCTCTGCCTCCTCCCCTTCGTCCGCCTCCGCCGCCGCCGCCTCCGCGTCCTCTCGTACGCGTCATTGCACAATCCCAAACTCGCTATCGGTACAGGACGCCTGCGAGCCCACGGATCTCTTAAACAGCCCCACCATTGGCCGATCTATTCCAGAGACATTTAATGACACGTCAGCACCGGCGGCGGTGACGTCATCGGCCGGCGTTAGCCCGCCAAACCGCGGCGAACGACGGCCGACGCGCCAGGTGTCATTCAACGAGCTCGTGCGCGTGCGGCGCATCCCGCGGCACTTCTTCTCCGCGGATATGACTGCCGCGGCGATGGAAATCGCGAGCGGGAATGATCCGACGGCTGGGAACGCGACGGGTGGAAGCGCGGCGGGTGGGAGCGCGGCGGGTGGGAGCGCGGCGGGTGGGAGCGCGAGTCAAGGAACGGCCGGATGGCAGTCGATCAACGGGGTCCACGCATCTTCCCCCGCTTCCGCCGCTTCCGCTGCTATTCCGCAAGGGCCGGTGGGGGCCGAGTCGCCCGGCGGAAGGGCGGGGGGAAGGAAGGGCGATTCCCCGCCTGCGCCCGCGCGTTCTTCCGCTCATTCCGCCCCAACGCAGCCCAGATCCGCCGCGCCTACGTCTTCCCCCGCCCCTGCGCCTGCGCCTGCGCTCGTGCCCACGCCTCCCCCGGGGTCTTCCGCCTCCGCGGGGCCGGGAGGCGCGCGGAGGGTGGGCAGGAGCGGAAGCTGGTCGTCGACTGGCGGCTCGGCTGCTGCGCGGAACGCGCTGCCGAGCGGAGGGGGCGACGGGAGTGGCCGCGACGGCAGCAGCGGTGGATATCGCGCTGTAAACAGTAACGGGATCAATAATAACGGGGCTAGCAATAACGGCGTTTCTCCGTCTGTGGTGATGACTGCTGCTGGTAGGGTGGGCGGCAGTGGCGGTGCCAGTAGGGGAAGCGGCGGGACGGACGGAGGTGTCATGGAGGCCATTGGCGGTGCGACTGCCAGAGCGGGCGGTAGTGGTCATTCGCCGGGCGGCAGCAGCAGCATGGGCGGCAGTGGAATGGGCGGCAGGAATGTGCCTGCTTTCGGGGAAACAGGTGCTGCTGGGTCGGGGGCGCCTGTCCGACACGCCAGGAGCCGTAGCTTCGTGGAACGTTCGGGCAACGATATTGCTCGCATGGCCGCGTTGGCAGCAGCAGCAGCAGGCGGAGCAGGGGGAGCAGGTGCAGGAGGGAACGGGCGGGGAGCAGTGGGGGGGATGGTCGGCAGGTGCAGCAGCGTCAGCCTCTTGGATCGCCCGACGGCTGACGTCAGCAACCGTAGCGGCGGCAGCAGCAGCAGCGGCAGCATCCCCCTGCGCAGGAATTCCGACCGCCCGGAACGCGCGAATCGGTCAGAGAGAACCGACCAATCAGAGCGCGCCAGCACGCGGAACCTCTCGGTGTGTCCTCCTTCCCCTGGCACCCGCCGGGACGCCTTCCTGGGTAAGCCCGAGATCAACGGCTGTAGCAGCGCCGGCAGCACCGCCAGCAGCAGCAGCAGCAGCGCGGGCAGTGGTATTGGCGCGGGTGGTAATGGTGGGGATGGGGGTAGTGTTGGCACTGCTGCGCGTAACAGCAGCAGCGGCGGTGGCGGCAGCGGTGGTGGTGGCAGCGCTGGTGGTGGCAGCGGTGGTAACCGCGTGCCGGGTCCTTCGGTTACCTCGCCGCCCGCTCCCCGCTTCGCCCCACATCCGCCAAGTGCCGCCACTAGAAGCCCCGCCTCATCAGCCCGAGCAGCAGCAGCAGCAGCAGCAGGCCGCGGGCCCCCATCGCACACACTTTCAGCTGACCGCCTGCCACTGCAGAGGGACCTTTCAGGGACAGGGACCTTTCAGGGGGGGGTACCGCAGGGGGCACAGGGGGCACAGGGGCCGTATGGGTCTCAGGGGCCACAGGGGGCACTGCAAGGCCCCCCTCAGAGCCCCCACCAGAAGCTGTCATCACAGGGCCTTCCCCTGCGCTCCCCTCGGCACGCTCGCCACCACAGCATGGGCAGCGCTGCTGCTCTTGGCACCCACCCGTCCCCTCGCGCTACAGCCCACGTTGCTGCTGCATCTTCCTTAGCTACAGCCATTACAGCCGCCGGACTGGTTTCAAAAACCGCGGGTGATTCTGTTTCTCGTCCGAGAATGCCGCCCAGCGTGCTGGTTGGGATCTCTCAGACCCTTCGCTCGCTCTCGGTTCAGTCAGTTCAGTCGCCATCCACTCCCCGCTCCCCAGGCCCGCACTCCCCTCCCCCTCTCTCCCCTCGCTCCGCCGCTCCTCTCTCCCCTCGCTCGTCTGCACCTGCCCCCCTCTCCCCTCGCTCATTCGCTCCTCCCCTTTCCCCTCGCTCTTTCGTAGCTGCCCCTCCTTCCCCTCGCTCTACTGCCCCTGTTCCCCTTTCCCCTCGCACTTCTGCTCCTCTCTCCCCTCGCTCATTCGCTCCTCCTCTCTCCCCTCGCGCCTCTGCTCCTCTCTCCCCTCGCGCTTCTGCTCCTCTCTCACCTCGCGCCTCTGCTCCTCTCTCTCCCAGCTTCCCTGCTACACGCTCCCCAATCCCACGCTCCAACACTTCCTCCAACACCTCCTCCAACACTGCGACTCGCACTCCTTTCCCTCCCTCTGCTGCAGCTGGGTTCAAAGGCCCAGCAGCACTGGACCAATCACGTGCAAGAAATGCACCGGCTCCCCGTCGACACGTGCGCTCTGCAAGCGTTGCAGAAGTCTGCACGTGAAACCAGCAGCGGGGCTACAACATATGGGGATGTGTTTGTGTGTGTGTGTTTTTTTTTAGTATTTTTTTTTTTACCTCCATTATTTTTCAAGGAGGGTCTCTTACGTACGTATGGTATATCCCCAACTGGTTTTCTATGTTTTTTGTTCAAAATTAACGTACGGTGATTCAATGACCAGCATAAATGTTGTAGTAAACGAACCTAAAAACCTTATAAAGGGAAAGACCAGTCGGTTAGAGGTGCCCCTTTAGTGCAATCCTAGCTCGTTCGTTGATTTGCCCACGTAACACTCATTATTTTTTTTACTTGTACAAGAACCTTATAACTAATCTCAAGCATCCGTGTAGAGTTGCGAATTTTGTCAGCACCATCCGTCGTGACATGGCGTGCGTGACTTGACTTACGGATGGGGATAGTTGCAGCGTCACCCGCCAAACAAAGCAATCTTCAGGCCAATGACTTGGCAGGGAATTTCTGCAACCAATCGAGGCATGAGATGGGGGACGTTGCTATGTGTGATTGTGAGGCAAGGGTGCTCACAGGTGGCAAGTCCCGCTCTCACGGCTAACACATGGGCAACTCTTATTGGCCTGCCGGGTATGGAAATATGGCTTGTCGGTTCTGGAAGTTGCCACAGACCCGCGACGCAGGAAGAGACCCACCCCACCTGTGCCATCCACGCATTGCAAGCTGGATCTGTGTGGTGTGGTTACCCCTGGTGCGAAGATTTACACATCACAAACAACAGGCTGTTTAGAGGTGATTTTGGTGATTCCGCCAAACCCATTCGACGAACTGTTACACACAGATGGGGACGGACATTACCGAATGTATTCATCAGAAAAGGATGTCACCTCATTACAGGTGTACAGATCGAAACGAAGGGTATATATCTCCAGATTTACAAGCGCCCCAGCACCTGCTTGTCGTTATCCAGTAACCGATGTGCCACTGCCAAGTACGGGACGCATTGTCGTTCCTTATCCAAAAATGTTTTCTCCAGCTTCCCGAAACCGTTCGAACTCATAGCACTCCTTGTACACCCACCCAACCCACCCGGATTCCCGTATGAGATTCCGAGGTCTGGAGAAATTGAGGGTCCTCCGGGTAGGGGGGTGAGTGAAAGCTATAAAAGCCTTCATAGAAGTTTGTCCTGTCGTGTTCAAAGTACAGAAGGACAAGATCAGGCGTGCGTGCTGTGCGGCTTGCTGCTCTGCTGCTTTCTCTTGCAACGAACGATGAACCAACGAAGTTCGTTCGAACACCTCAAACATCCCTGCTGTAACGCCCTGCCTAATGCGGCCGCCGTCAACCTTATCTGAAGATAGCCCGTTTCTAAAGTTTGCCCACCATCCAAGTTTTGGACGCCCAGTCCGTGTGTGCGTCCACCATGGATTTTTTTCCGAGCAGGTGGAGGGAAGGGAGCGCAGGGAGAGAATTTACAGGTCAGCGTGGTACCGTGGGCTGTCGATAGGTCGATAATTGGGAAAATGCTATTAACGCTTAGGTTCAGCGAAGATGTGCTCATCATCAGTGTTTAGCCTGAATAATGCGCAGAAATACGCGACGGTCATGCACGATCGACTTACGCGCCCTTACTCTAAAGCACAGAACCCGTTCCATTAAAGATTGCGTGTACGTTTCTAAGATTCAAGCTGGCTTAAACGGCGTAGTACCTTTGTCATGCTCTAAGTCGGCATCGCGTTCGTCGAATCGCAGAGGGACGTCCGCGTATTCTTCAAGAAGCAATGACGTTCAATAAGCAATGCGCGTAGCTCGTACGGTGCCACCGAATGCCGTATTGCCTCGCGACGTTAGTAGTACGACTCTTGCCACTCACCCGTGATTAAAAATCAATCGACAAGGGCACGCTAATTCGTACGATCGTCAGGAACAGCTCTCGTCAAAGCACCTTCGCACCAGTCCCATCAGTCGCATCCGTCGCAGCTGTCGTTGCTGCTGTCGCGAAGGGAGTCGCCGAACCGCGCGCTGGCTCGCCGCGGAGCAGCGTCGCAGAGGGGAGTCACGCAGGGTTCGCAGAGGGGAGTCGCAGGCGTCGCAGAGTGGAGTCGCAGGCGATCGTTGCGCGGCGGTCGTTGCGGCGATGGAGCAGGAGCTAGTGAGCTATGCGGGCGTAGCGTGGCGGGGCCGCGTCGTGGCGGACTATGGCCGCGAGACGGCAGCGCTCGCGCCGGCTGTCACGGAGGCGATTAAAGACCTTTCTCCTTTCGCCACTCAGCTGTCGCTCGTAAGACTGTGTCGCCATTTTTCTCTCCCGTTCTCCCTCTTTTTCGCTCGTGCGTTTTTTTTTTTTTTTTTTTTTTTTTTTTTTTTTTTTTTTTTTTTTTTTTTTTTTTTTTTTCCAACCTCTCCGAGTTGGTCTTCCTTCGACCAATAGCGGAGTCGCACTCTTCCGTTTAAGACTCTTTCCCCTTCCCTTTCCCCCCCTCCGTCTCCCCCTGCCCTCTCCCCTCCTTCCCCCTCCTTTCAACCTTCCGTCTCCCTTCCCGCCCCACTCCCTCTTACCTCCCCGCAACTCAACCCCCGACCCTTCCCCCGTTTCCCCTCCCTTCCCCGCAACCCCCCGTCGCAGGGCTGCGGGCGGGTATTCGCGCTCATCCAGCGCGCGCGCGACGAGCCTTTTGACTCCGCCGCTGCCTCGGTGACGGCGGAAGCGCAGCGTGCGAGCGGCGCCAACGGCGCGAGCGCCGTGGGTGGCGCAAATGGCGCGGGCGAACCGTCTGAGCGCGCCGCCAGCGGAGCGGCCGAATCGCAGCGCGGGAGTGACTGTAACGGGGCGGTCTTTTTTCTGATTGGCTACGAGCCGCTGAGTAAAGACCAAGCGCGCGCGCTTCTCGGGCGGATCCGATGCGCGTTTCAAGACGCCGTGATTGCCGCTGGCAAAGCTGCTGCTCTTAACGAAGGTGCTACTAACGAAACCGAGCTTTACGAAGACGACGCGCTTCGCGCCTCCATCCGCCAATCGCTTGCCGCCACGTTTCGATGCTTCCGCGGGCGGATCGCCGACGAGCCTTCGGCGCTTATTGTGTATGATGACGCTCCTAACGCGTACAAAACCCGCGTAGAAGAACGGCCTTCTAACGAACACGGTGAGAGCGACGGGAGTGACAGTAGCGATAGTGACAGTAGCGAACACGGAAGCGGAAGCGAAGGCGAAGCTGAGGGGGAGGACGGAGGGAGAAAAACGAAGAAAAAAAAGGGTAAATCGAAAAAGAAGGGGAAGAAGGAAGGGAAATGGGACTGGGTGAAAAAACAGGAGGACGCTGAGAACAGAAAGACGCAGCGGGCAGCTGAAAGAGCTAGGGTAAAAAAGTTGGCAGCCGAAAAGGTTGAGGTTGAAAAGCAGGAAGGTGATTCGGAAAACGCGCAGGAAAAATCTGGGGCATGTGGAGCGGGGGAAGCACGCGCGGGGGGAGGCGCGGGGGGAAGGGGTGGGGAAAAAGGGGAGGGAGGGGAAGCTGACGCGGACGCGCAGCTGTTGGCGCTGAAGCGGGAGATAGAGGAGGCGCAGGCGCAGCTGGAGAGGCTGCAACGGGGGGAGGTGGCATCTGCTTCGCAGGGCGAAACGAAGGATGGCGAGCCGCATCAGGGCGAAGCGCATCAGGGTAGCATTTCCCAGCCACGACAAGAGTCGGAATTGCAGCAGCAGCAGCAGCAGCAGGAGGGGGAGGTGGGAACTGAGGGGCTGCGCTTGGCTGGCAGATCTTTGTCTGTATCCATCTCCCTGGACCAATACGACGAGAGCACTGACGTCAGCAAGCACCTGCAGTCGTGGCACAAGGAGAGTGCAGCTTTTCACGCAACCGCTGATGCGTCACCACGTGCTCATGCTGACGTGGCAGCAGCTGCCAGTGATCAAGTGCCAGCTGGCAGTATCGTCCCAGCCTTCCGAGACGCTAACGCTGTTGTGCCGAAGCAGAATCTGCCTGGAAGCTTCACTCCCACTTTAAACCACCCTCCGTGGGGTGTAATTAGCACTCCTGCAGCAGCAGCAGTAGTTAATCCCCCATCGCTCCACAGTGGTATTGAGTTGTATCAGAGTTACACAAACGGGGATACTGCAACCACCACAGGAACTGGCATCATGGCTGACGTGGCCGCCACGTCAGCAGCGGGCCGTGCTACAGCTGGCTACGACGATTCTGCTGAGCTCAGCAACAGGCGGCCGCCGAGCTTCTCGCTGGAAGAACCAGGAGACGAAAAGGAGGCGGCGCAAAAAACTGATTTCCGGGCGGCAGAAACCGTCTTCAGCGCACAACAGACAAATGTTTTTGAGGCAGCAGAAGGAATGAGTTTTCCTGCCATGGTTGGTGCGCGGTCGCTGAAACCCGCTCACTCCAGCAGCAGCATCGGCTGTAGCGGCAGCAGCAGCAGCACCGGCTGTAGTAGCAACAGCACCAGCCTGCCGGCCAGACTCCTCTCAGAGGTCCCTGCGCCGCTACAGCCAGGCCCGCCGCTACAGCCAGGTTTTGAGTCGACTCCAACTCAGCCGGGAAGCGGAGGAGGAAAGGGGGGGGCTATAGCAAATGGGGGAGGCGGTGGAGAAACTCTTGACCTGGAGGAGCTCTGCAGGGATTCAGGAGATTTTTCAGGTGGATTTTCAGGTGAATTTCCGCGCGATTCTTCACAGGGGAGTTCCCAGGGGAGTTCCCGAGGTAAGAAAGGGTTGGCTTCTCTGTTCAGGTTCAAGACTGCCACGTCAGCATCTGCTGGTAGGTCACCCAAGGGGGGTTGGGCAGGGCTAGGAGGAGAGAAGGTAAAGACTCCAAAAGGGGAGGAGGGAGAGGCAGAGTGTGACAATAACGAGAGTGGTGGTAAAGAAGGTGATTCTAGTGGAAGGAGGCTGACGATATGGGGTAAGGGGAGTAGCAAGGATGGGAGTGGGAAGGAGAAAGGTGGGAAGAAGGGAAGTGGGAAGGAGAGGAGTGGGAAAAAGGGTGTTCGCTGCAACAGCAGCAGCAATCTCGCTGCACAGGGCACTGAGAGTGACGTACTCGCTATAGACAGCTCCATGAGCAATATAAGCAGCCCGTTAACAGGAACGCCTAATTCTGGCACTCCCCTTGCCGGCACCCCACAGGCCGGCACCCCTCAGGCCGGCACGCCCAAGTCGCTCACTCCCCGCTCTGCCACGCTGCCTTCGTTCCAACTGCCCGTGGATAGCAGTCCCCGGCACCCCGTCAGCAGCCCCAAAATCCACGTCAGCAGCCCCAAGTTCCACGTCAGCAGTCCCAGGCACGGGATCAGCGTCAGCGGTGGGAGAGCGAACGGCAGGGCAAGAGCACCAGCGGCAGCGGCAGCGGCGGCAGTGGCGGGAGCAACGGTGGCTTATAACGAGCCGCGCTCTAACGAGGATGACTCGGAGCAGCTGTGCTCGCCTTGCTCCATTGCCTCTTCTACTGGAACGGGTCTCTCTGTCTCCAGTGTGGGCTTCTCAGCAGCTTCCTCCTCCTCCTCCCTCCTCCCGCTTCGCCTGCCCTCCTCTAGCCGACGTGCCCTTGGGAACTCATCTCTCTCCTCCTCCGGGCCCTCTTCCCATGCTCCTCTCCTTCCCCCCTCCTCCTCTTCCTCCTCCAACTCCTCTTCCATTCACTCGTATTTTCCGTCTCTCTCCTCCCTTCCGTCTCACTCGATTCCCCCTTCCTCCTCCTCCGCTTCCTCCTCGTCCGGTCGGCGCCTCTCATTGGACAACGCGGCGGCTCGAATCGACCTATCAGCTTCGCTTATCTCCTCCACCCACTCCCACTCTTCCCACGGACTCCTACACTCCCCCTCCCCCTCCCCCTCACCGTTCCCCATCCCTCACTCCTCTTCATGCTCCTCCGCCCCCCCTCCCAACTCATCTTCTTCACCCCGCGCACATTCCGAAATCGCTACGCAATTTCCAGGCACTATGTCCCGGGATTCGGGGGTAATTACCCGGCCGCGGTCGCCTTTTCCAGACTACGAGCCAGAGCCAGAGCAAGAGCGAGAGAAGCAGCAGCACCACCACCGCCAGCAGCAGCAGCAGCCGCCATGGGGCTCCTATCCCAATGCATCCCCACCAAACCACCCATCCGCACCCCCTTCCTCCCTCCTCACCTCCTCTCGCCCTCCTTACGCACCCGTGCAACCCCCCATGCACCCTTCTGCCACCACCACTGTCTTTGCTCGGAGCTCGTTAAGCCGGGCCGGTAGCAGTGTTGGGGGCGCGGTGGTGAGTGGTAAGCAGGGGCGCAGCGGGGTTGAGAGTGGTGGTAGCAGTGGCGGCGGCAGCAGCAGAGAGAGCAGCCCGGCTAGGCCGTTTGGTGCAGGAGGGAGGAGTGCGAGTGTGGGGGCTCTAAGCACGCTGCTGGGAAGGTCGAGAGAGGAGGGGAGGGTGAGAGAGGAGGGGAGGATGAGGGGAGAGGGGAGGGTGGAGGGTAAGGGGGAGAGGGAAGGAGAGGGGAGGGGCAGTGTGGAAAGTGGTGTCAGTGCTGCTCCTGCTGCTGTTGCTGCTGCTGGTGGTGGTGGTGGTGTTGCTGGTGGTGGTGCTGGTGGTGGTGCTGCTGGTGGTGCTGTAGGGGGTGGGTTGATGGGAATGTGGGCGGCAGCAGCAGGGAGCAACTCTCTTAGCAGACAGCCCAGCAGTAGCAACTTCTTGACTGGTAACCGCGTAACGGACGCCGTGCGTGCTGGTTCGGATGATGGCATGGGTGATGGTATGGGTGATGGTATGAGTGATGGTATGGGTGATGGTATGGGTGATGGTATGGGTGATGGTGCAGGTGATGGTATCCATGATGCTTGGAACAGTGCTCCTATAAGCCAGTCGCAGCATCTGCCCCGAGCCTCCTCCCGAGACTCCTGGAACGTCTTTGTGGCCCCGCACTCGCAGAAGCTGCCGAACGCCCAGGAGATTTCTCATGAGAAAATGCAACAGAAGCTTCAAATGCAGCTGCAGATGCAGCAGCAGATGCAGCAGGTGCTTATGGGAGGCAGGGGACGAAAGCAGCAGCAGCAGGAGCAGCAGCAGGAGGAGGAGCAGCAGCCACCACTACTGAAGAGTAACACTGGTGGAATTGCCATTAAGAAAGGCGCTGCTGCTGGTGCTGCTGCTGCTGGTGGTGGTGGTGGTGGTGGTGTTGGTGGTGCCACTGCCGCTGCTGGTGGTGCTGCTGGTGCAGTAGCTTCCACCCCTCCTGGCACTCACCACCTCTTCTCCCCCACTGGTTCGCTCTTCTCCCCTGGTAAGCTTCAGCGCCGAGCCTCGCTCTCAGGCTGGGCAAGGCTGGGAGGTATGGGTAAGAGCAGCAGCAGCAGCAACCTGGCTGGAACTGCTGCTGCCGGTGGTGGTGCTGGTGGTGCTGGTGGTAGTGCTGGTGGTGGTGCTGGTGGTGATGCTGGTGGTGATGCTGGTGGTGATGCTGGTGGTGATGCTGGTGGTGATGCTGGTGGTGCTGGTGGTAGTGCTGGTGGTGGTGCTGGTGGTGGTGCTGGTGGTGTTGCTGGTGGTGTTGCTGGTGGTGTTGCTGGTGGTGTTGCTGGTGGTGTTGCTGGTGGTGTTGCTGGTGGTGTTGCTGGTGGTGTTGCTGGTGGTGTTGCTGGTGGTGTTGCTGCAGGTGAGTATGATGGTTTGTATGATCCCAATCCTGCTGCTGCCGCTGCTGCCGCCGCCGCTACCGCCGCCGCCGCTGCTGCTGCTAGGGCTGCTGTTACCCCTGCCGTTGCCACCGCTGACCTTCCTTTCGTTACAAGCAAGCATCGCTCCAAGACTGCACTCAGTAGCACCATGGGTAACACCAGGAGCACCACCCCCACCACCAGCGGCAGCAGCAGTGGCAGAAGCGGCGGCAAGGATCCATGGAGCAAGGCAGTGAGGAAGCTGTGGAAAGCAGCTAGGAGGAAGAAGGGCGAGGGGAAGGGAGAGACGGGGAAGCAGGAGAAGGGGAAGGGTGGGGAGGCGGCGGGGGCGGTCGGAATGGGTAAGGGCGCGCAGGGGGATTTGACCGAGGAGGAGGAAGAGTGGGATGAGGACGAGGAGGAGGAGGATGAGGAGGAAGAGGAGGGGGAGGGAGGAGGGATCGATGCCTGGAAGCTTCTGGAGGAGGGGAAGGGAGGGGAGGGAGGAGGGAGGAGCAACCGCCGGGTGTCTCTATCGGGCTGGCCGGGTGGGGGTGCGTTGGGTGTGAAGAGCAAGAGCGTGGGGGGGAACAGTGGGAGCCGGGACAGACGCAGGATGAGCGTGAGTGGGGTGGTGCGTGGGACGGGTGGAGAGGGGGGGCATGGGAAGGGAGAAGGGAGCAGGGGGCAGAAGCATGGTGGGTCGGGGGTTGGGAAGGATGGTGAGGGGGTGGGGGGAGGTGTAGATGCAAAAGCAGCAGTTGCTTCTCGAGTTGCTGCTACAGCTGCTGCTACAGCTGGGGCTGCTGTGGGTGGTGAGGAGGAGGATGATGGGGGATGGGCACAGGTGCTGGGAAAGAGGGCGGGGGTTAAGTCAAAGGGAAGGGTCAGCTGCAGTGTGTGATGGTGATGAAGGGACCACTAAGTCCAGAGCTGACTGCAATGTTGGCCTCAGAAGGGACAGGTCACAGCAGTGAATAGGGTGAGGAGGAGGAGGATGGGGGATGGGCACAGGTGCTGGGCCAGAGGGCGGGGGTCAAGTCCAAGGGGAGGGTAAGCTGCTCTGTGTGATGTGATAGTAGAGAAGCAACAGCTGCTGCTACAGCAGCTGCTACAGCTGGGGCTGCTGGGGGTGGTGAGGAGGAGGATGATGGGGGATGGGCACAGGTTTTGGGCCAGAGGGCGGGGATTAAATCAAAGGGGAGGGTTAGCTGCTCTGTGTGATGTGATTGTAATGAAGGGACCACAAGACGACTAGTTTGTCATGAGATGGCTGCAATGAGGGCCTCTCAAGGGGTGTCTCATTTTGTGCCTCTCTCCAGTAAGAAGCGACAACATCAGTCATCACATCATTCATTTAGGTGCCTCATTTTGCAACAGCTTGAGGCACACATTGTGCTTGTTTTTACTTTCTCTCTCTTCCGCTCCGCTCATTCTTTCGCTTCCCCGTTCCTTTGCTTGTTTATGATGACTTATTCTTTCTGCTTCGTGCACTTGGTCAAAGAACACTAGGAGGTGCATCGGGATACGGGGATAGACCTGGTTGTGCGACTGACAGTTTGCTAACGGACCATGGTGGGTGGGTGGTCGTTCTTCCATTGGCCTAAGGGTACATTCCGCTGTGGACACATGTCCCAATCGATGTGTCCCAATCGTTTCTACCGCACTGCATCGTATTACACCATATTGCACCCTAGTTTCGAAATTTTCGCGTCTCTGGTTTAGTTCGGTTCGGAGCGGTACACTCGATTGGGACACATCGATTGGGACATGTGTCCACAGCGGAATGTACCCTAAATGCATGTGTCTATAACCTTTCCCATTGAGAAATCATAACGGCTTTGAGAAAGCAACAAAGATATGAGAAGGAAGAGTGTATGGAGAAGCACACACCACCAGATATCTAGCACCCTTATACCGGTGCACACAGTAAAAAGAACCAGCGTGTAAGAATCCACTCCCTACCACATCGCATACAACCCCAACTCTCAGAAATAAAGTCATACAGTATGTCTGATTCCTTCGACTCCTCCGAAGCTACTCGCGTCGCTTCGGCCAAACGTTGGCTAAACCTTTACCCAAACTCGACTTCCAAGGTCCCCGCCTAGCTGGGGTTCCTTGCTATATTACAGTATGGTATGCCCATACCTTGAGTCGTATATACATCCTTTGAGTCATCTTCTTTTACAACTCATAATGTTTTGAAATAAGCATTACTTCTCTTGGCGTTAATTATCTTCTACAACTTACAAGAGAACTCTGTTTTGTTGTGTGTTTGTGCATACGAATTTTATTATGTTGTCATTCTACGGTATTTGTATTTCCAGTAGGATTTCCTGACTTACTACCATAAGTTACATAGTAGGCTATCAACGACGAAGAAGCGTATCGAGTTCATTCATACACGCGGCAAAGATTCCATAAGCGACAATGTGGTGGCAACCACCGCTGCAAGCTGGGCAGGGCTCCCCTTTCCCGGTTTCTCCCCCCACTCCGCTTCCCGACCCCCAGTTCCCCAACTCCCCCGCCTTGCTCCCTCCCACTCACCAGGCACGACCCTGACTCTCAAATCCTGCTAGTCGCCTATCTCTGGCTCTTTTCCTCCCCGTTAGTCTCCACACACCTGCCACACCGCATCAGCCGCCATGGTGAGTGCTCCTCAGTAGCCAGCTATGGCATCGGTTGGGTGAATCGCGCGTGGTTAGGGCGTGTATAGGAGGGGCTAGCATCGTAGAGGGTCGGTACGGAGGGATTTTCTGCGGTGACGGGAGCGAGAGCGGTTGGATGAAGCAGGATTAGGGTTGCGTGGTTTTTGCTGTGATGCAGTTTTCGCTAGAAAGGGATCAGCGCACTGTGATGCAGGAACGGGGTTATTGCTGGATCGACGACAAAGCAGGATTAGGGTTGCACGGATTTGGCTGTGATGCAGTTTTCACCAGAAAGGGCTCGGCGTAGAAGCGATTCTTTGCCGTCATCAGGCGTACCCGCGTCGCGGTTGTATCGAATAATATGTTTAGAACTATCTGTCGGAGACGCGGAAATGGGCCCTTTCGGTGCTGTTGGCTTTTATTGAGTTCGCATTGGCTTCCGACTTCGAAGATTGTTTAGAAGGAGGCGTGAGGGTGAAATTGTCTGACATTGACTTCCTTCACAGTCGGTTAGCAGGGACCGTTAGGGTTTCCGAACGGCGGGCGCTTCGGGATTTGTCAGTTTTAGTCTGCCGGGAACCTGATCGTAAGGGAGGTACGATTATGAACGCGAGCAGGAGTCAGATGTCCACTTGCTGCGATCGCAGGGGTTGCATTTCGGATTCGTAGTTTCTGTCTAGTTCGGTGGTCCATTCACGCGAGATAGCTTCCTGTAGTTGGACGAGCAGGTGCTGTTGACGTGTAGATTCCGTATTGGGTAGTGTGCCGTTTTCTTAAAAATGCACTCATTTTTAGTTCAACGCCATGTGTAAGTTATCTTAACGTTAACGCGCCGCCTGCAACGATAGCCGAGCGAAAGCGGGAAACAGGTCGGAGCGTTTGAACGGAGCTTCAAGGTTTCGGCTGGTCTATTCAGGTCATACGCGTGATTCTCAAAATCGAAGGCGCTAGCTGCGGCATGATTCGTGGGTCGTGGGGCAAGCCGTAGCGCACGATTTGTGGGGTACTATGTACCCTTCGTTAGTGTACCTTTCCGTTTTGTAAGGCGTCTCTTAACTCGCTGGTGTATCTTTAATCATGGCCATTCATGGCGCACTGGGCGTCATGACCCTTCCGCTGTTCACCTGTTCAACCCTTCTCCTTCACCTTTTCTGTTCCCGTCCCTCATCACTTGCGTAATCTGCTTATTTGGCCACGCTATCCCCTCACCCCCTCCTCCCTCTCCACTCCTCGTCTCCTCATTCCCTTTCCTCTTATCTCCCCCCCCGTCCCCCCCATTCTCCTCCTCCCCCTCCTCCCCTCCTCCCCGACCCGATCCTTCTGTTTAAACTTATCTCCTTTGCCATCCTACTCCAACGCTGCTGACTGCAGGGAAAGGGAACGGGTAGTTTCGGTAAGCGCCGCAACAAGACGCACACGCTGTGCCGGCGCTGCGGTCGCCGCTCATACCACATTCAGAAGAGCCGATGCGGTGCCTGCGGCTACCCCGCTGCGCGCGTGCGCAAGTGTAAGTCCTGATGGATCGATCAGAATGTGCTTAGAGTGTGAAGTCATGATGACTACCTACCAGTCCCCCCACCTTTCATTTCTCCCCTCCTCCTTTCTTCCCCTTCAACCTTTTCCCCCCCTGCATCTGGCGTCTCACCTCTGTTCCCCTCCCATCGTTCCCTACCTCCTGTTCATAACTCGTTTATCCATTTCCCCTCCCCCCCCTCCCACTCTTCCCGGTTTTGCTTCCGTCCAGCTTCTTCCCTTACCTGCTCACGTCCCTCCACTTCCCCCCTCTCTCCCCTTCCCCCCTCATCCTCCCCCCGCGGCTTCTTTTGCTGCCATCTCCATTCCCCTCCCTCCGTTCTCCCCTCTTCTCCCTGCTCCCATCTCGTCTCCATGCCACATGCGTGAAGTACTTCCCACTTCGCTAAGCGTCCTCGTGTTTGCCCTCGCGCTCTCAACTTCTTCCCCACTCCCCTTCATCTTCCCCTCAGCGCAGTCAACTGGAGCGTGAAGGATATTCGGCGCAAGACTACGGTCACGCGTCTTATGCGTCAAATACCTTCCACTTCACAAGGCCTGCCTCGTTCTTCCCACCAACCCCACCCCCCCTTCCCCCCCCCCTTCTCCCCCCCCCCCCCTCCTCCTCCTCCCCTGACTCACCCCCTCCTCCCCTGACCCACCCCCATCCCCCCCCACCCCCCCCCCCCCCCCCCCCCCCCCTCCCCTCTCCCCCTCGTCTTCCCCGTGGCGCAGTCAACTGGAGCGTGAAGGCTATCAGGCGCAAGACCACGGGCACGGGCCGCATGCGGTACCTCAAGGACATGCCCCGCCGCTTCAAGAACGGATTCCGTGAAGGTGAGCGGATGAGGGGAATCGGTGGGAATTGGTATGGCGAATTTGGTGGTGTATGGTTTTGGGAATGTCAAGAGTTGGGGAATGTGAGGAGTTGGGATGGAAGTTCACGGGAAAAAATAAGGAAACACGGTGACTGTGTAAGCAATGTGCTAACGGAATGAGTCTGGTTTGTGCATGGATATGTACATAAGCACGGACATGGAGATCAGAAGGTGCATGTAGAGTCGAGTTATGTGATTGCCTGCCTATTTATTCGTAACGAATCTGTGTCTCTCCTCACTTCAAACACTTACCTTGCCTTCCTGTGAAATGACTCCCCGTGAAATTACTCAAGTTTCAAGTTTGTCTCCCCACTTCGCAATTTCTTACGACTGTCTCTCAGGAACACAAGCACCCCCTCGCAACCGGGTTGCAGCCTCCTCTTAAATCCCCAAGCACTGTCATCTTGAGCATGAGCCTGGGATGCGAAGTTTGCAGCTAGCGGGAGCAGGGCTGGTGCTTGCGCATGCACAGGAACACAGGCGTGCTCACTTGGAAAGTGTTGCTGTGCGAGGTGCCTAATCATCCAGTCCACTATGCATGTGCAAGGTTACCAGTCAACCCACCTGTGGCGAGGGCGTGTAGGGTTATATTGAGGTGGCAATTGTGCTGGATGGATGTAATGCAAGCTTTGTGAAAATAGCTGCGAAATTCAAATGGTGCACTCATTGACGTTGTAGTGTACTATGAAGGATGCACCATACAAGAGAAAGCCGAGGCTATAGCATATTTAGAGTACCCTTGGATGAGTGGTTCAGTATGGTGAAAGCCTGTTACGAGTGCATTTGAGCGAGTGAGCGAGAAATGCACTATCGAAGCAAAAACAATTCAATGAGCGAAGGCATGAGCGAAGAATATATGGCGAAACTAGTGTGGTACAGGCCCCAAGATTCGTTTTGAGGCACGCTGATCGATCAACGTGCACCCCTGTTAGAACTCTGTGTCAGAATCCCAGCCACTAGACCACTGGGATAAAAGGGCTTGTTAAGTAGCGGGTGAGTGCGCCCATAACCCCCCAGGACAACGAGCCTGTAAGCTGTTGTTAGAATACTAGGAAGGAATGTGTATTAGGTAAGGGGGAGGGGGTACAAGCATGTCGAGAGAGTTGGGTTGTACCCTCTAAGGTGTGACCCCTACACAACATAGAGTAAGATTAGCAGAACAATGTGTTTTGACACACCCCCATAGGTGAAGTAGGGGATAGCCAAACCTAACAGTGGTCACAAGACCAGTCAAGCAAGAGAACAAGCAAGGCAAAGCCCAGGGTGGATCTCAAGGACACCACACAATCTGAGCACAAGCAGGCGGCCACAAGGCCAGTTCACATGCAGATTTATAATTGCAAGGCAGTACACCCGATCACAACCTAGCAAGAGTAAACACGCAGGTATAAAGATATATAGCAGTGTACAACAAGAGCAAGTCAAGCAACCAGCAGGTGAGGCAGAGTGGGAACAAGCCCAAGAGCAGTGCAAAAACGCTAATGATCACCAGCCCCAAGGGCCTTGGTGAAACATCAGCAGTGTTGGCCCGAGAGGTCACGAAAGCAAGGCGCAGCTGACCACGCTGCTGCACCTCACGCGCAAGGAAGTAGTGCAGAGCAATGTGCTTCGTTCTGTGCTCCAGTCTCTGCTCGCGACACAAGGCAAGCATTGCCTTGTTGTCGACGTACAGAACTAGAGGAGAACGAGGCCGCTCCCCCAAGTCGGTCAGCAGGTAGGTCAGCCAGCGGAGCTCCTGTGCAGCCATGACCCCAGCGTAGATCTCGGCCTCACAACTGGAACCAAGCACAGAAGAAGAACGAGTGGACCTCCACGAGACAGAACCAGCGCCAAGACTGAAGGTGTAGCCCTGTGACGAACGCTGAGTCGCCTGGTCGTCGGCCCAAGAAGCGTCAGAGTGTCATGTGAGGACCACCGAACCCCGTCCTCCAAGCACGAGCCCCATGCCCGATGTGCTGCACAAGTAACGCAGTACCCTCTTCGCAGCATCAAAGTGCACCTTTCGGTGCCTACCGGGTGCCACGTAGCGAGCCAGAAGGCTGAGAGGGTACGCGAGGTCAGGTCGTGTGCACGTCATCAGGTATATGAGGCAGCCCACAAGCTCTGGGTACGGACCACTCGGCTCTACGGACTCGTCCGAAGGTGGATCTGAGAGCGAGTGGCCGGTAGCCAGAGGAGTGGGCTGTGGCGAGGACCACGAGAAGCGGAAGCGCTGAAGGACCTGGTGCACCATGTGTGACTGAGTGAGGGTGATGGTGCGCCGTGGTCTGTCCCGGGTGATCTGCAAGCCAAGATAGCTCCGCAGCTCACCCAGGTCAGTGCAGGTGTGTCTCTCCTGCACCTCCGCCTTCACTAGGGTCAGTGCCTCAGTGTCAGCAGTAGCAAAAACCAAGTCGTCGACGTACACGAGGATGTAGAACGGCGGCAGAGTAGTGTCGGTGCGTAGAAACAGCGACGGGTCAGCAGTCGAAGGAGCAAACCCAAGAGCCGCAAGTGTCGTCCTCAGTGTGTCGTGCCACTCACGGGGCGCCTGACGCAGGCCGTACACAGGTCGCCGTAGGCTCCACTGGGTACCCGCAAGAAACGATTCAGTGAAGCCCTGTGGACGGCGCAACCAGATGGCCTCGTGAAGGCTACCCTGCAAGAAAGCTGTCGAGAAGTCGAGGGAGTGCAGCTCGTAGTCACGTTGAGCTGCAACGTGTAGCAACACCCGAAGAGTGGTCATCTTCGGGGTGGGGGAGAAGGTCTGAAAGAAGTCGACCCCCTCACGCTGACTGAAGCCTCGAGCAACGTAACGTGCCTTGAAGGCAGGCGGAGAACCCGGCGGCCGCTTCACCCTGAAAATCCACATGCCACTGACGATGTTCGCCCCAGGTGGGGGAACCTCGTCGACGTAGGTGCCTGTGGACTTCCAGGAAGCCATCTCTGCGTCCATGGCTGTCTGCCACTGAGAGGTGTACTCACCCGAAATCGCCTCCCTGTAGGAGCGCGGGTTGGGGATGTCAAGTGCATCCGGGTCTCCCTCAGGGGCAAGCAGCATGGTCGCGTGATGGGGTGAAACGGCAGCAAGGCACTCCAGCTCCTCCTGTCTGTCCTCAAGAACGTCACAACCAAGGGCAGTACAGCCAAGAGCAGTCTCACCCCCGACGGACGGAGGACAGGCAGGGACAGGGTCAGAGACAAGACTCGCAAGGTAGTCTAGGCGGTACACGGCAGCAAAGTCAACGAGCTCAGCTACTAGGGCAGATGCAGCAGGAGACGAGAACGTAGGGTCCGTCACAACCGTAGCAAGAAGGCGAGTAACAGTCGGACTGGATGCACAAGCAAGGTCAGACGGAGGGTCAGCAATGTCAGGCAGAGAGGATGCAGGAGGTAACGGTAGTACAACACGCTGAGGAACAGAGGAAGGACGGAGTGTCATATCGTGAGTGCCGGGGACAGCCGGAGCACGCGGACGATGAACACGAGGAACACGAGCACGGACAGCAGCTCTAGGCTCAGGCTCATGGTCAAAGCTAGACTCAGGCTCTCGACGCTCAGGGGTGGAAGCACGAGTCTCAGGCTCTCGACGCTCAGTCAGGGACTCTGACACCGCAGTGTAAGGAGCAGGAGCAGGCAGTGGGGAGTGTGGTAGCTGCGGTGGCTGTGACTGGTCCGCTGGCGGACACAGCAACGGAGGAGTAGTACCTGCCACAGGGAAGCCTGTAGCACCTGGCGGAAGACTGAGAAGGTGGCGAAGAGCACCAGTAGCTCCTGTACCTCCAGCACGAGCAGCTCCTCCAGTACCCCCAGCAACACCTCCAGCACCAGTAGCACCAGCACCTCCAGCACCACGAGCTCCGACAGCGCCAGCACCTCGAGCACCAGTAGTACCTCCAGTACCTCCACTGCCTCCAGCTCCAGCTCCAGCGCCTCCAGCACCAGTAGTACCTCCAGTACCTCCTGCACCAGCAGCACCTCTAGTACCTCCAGCAGTACCTCCAGCACCTCCAGCACCAGCAGCACCTCCTGGACTAGTAGCTCCAGCACCAGTAGGACCGTACCCTCCACCACCAGGACTGCCTCGCAGAACGACCCACGCACGAATCGCCTGCGGTGAGAGCGTCTCAAGTAGAGCAGGCTGCGGTGGCTGTCCAGCTCCTGTACCTCCAGTAGTGGTAGCTCTAGCACCTCCAGCTCCAGAAGCACATCTAGTACCTCCAGCTCCAGCACCTCCAGCACCAGCAGCAGCTCCAGTACCTCCAGCAGAACCTCCAGGCCTAGTAGCTCCAGTACCTACAGCTCCAGGACCTCCAGAAGGACTCGCAGCACCCCCAGAGTCAGCACCCAAAGTCTCAGTACCCTCAGTCCTAGGACCCTCAGGCTCAGCACCCTCAGTCCCACCACCCTCAGTCTCAGCACCCTCAGTCTCAGCACCCTCAGGCTCAGTACCCTTAGTCCCAGCACCCTCAGTCCCAGCACCCCCAGTCTCTGCTCCAGTGTCCACAGCAGTTGGCTGCAGAGGCGGCGAAGACGGCAGAGGTGGGAACCCGGGGGGGGTAGCCAGACGAGGAGAGCGGGCACCCCCAGACTCACCACCCCCAGCCCCAACTCCAGTAGTCTCAGCTCCGGAGTCCACAGCAGCAGGCTGCGGTTGCGGCGAAGACGGCCGTGGCGGGAAACCCGGGGGGGTCGCCAAGCGAGGAGTGTGGCGAGTGGTCGCCGTGTCGTCGGCGACGGCGTCACCCCCCTCAGGTGAGTCAGAGGAGTCAGAAGAGATCTCAACTGGCTCATCCAAGGGGGGTGGGTCTACCTGGGACACACCTGAGGGAGCAGGACCCTGTGGGGGGAGGGGTTCTACCGGGGGGGGGACTGGTACCAGGAAGAGGGGTGCAAGGGGGACCGGGTGGGACGCGTGCGGGTGAAGTCGGTAGTAACAGACCGACTCGTCGAAGGTGACGTCCTGAGAGGACAGAACACAACGCGAGGCAGGGTGGTAGAACTGCCAGGGTGGAGCGTCGGTGGGGAAGCCCAGGAAGACACAGCGGAGAGTGCGAGGAGAGAGCTTGCTCGCTTTGGTATCGCGAACAAGGGAGAGCGCACCCCAGACCCGAAACGACGACACATCACCAGGCTGTCCCGTCCAACGAAGTGTGGGCGAGGTCTCTGGAGCAGAGACACGGGGCCAGAGGTTGAGCTGATGCGCGGCGTATCGGACCGCAAACGGCCACAGGAAATAGGGAGCAGCCGCATGGATCATGGAGGTACGAGCAACCTCCATGATCAGGCCAATGCGACGCTCAGCGATCCCATTTTGCTGCGGAGAGGCCGGAAGCATGAACGACTGGGCGATGCCCTCATCCTGGCAGAACGTCTCAAGGACGCCAGAAGAGAACTCACCACCCC